TCTCTCTCAGTCTCTGCGGACCTACCTTGGTAACACTGCAGTCTGGAACAGATATCTGCCTATAAATCAGACATTTGCTCATAAAATCCGTGTGACAGCTAGAGAACAGGGGTGCAGCAGCATCCTTGCTAGTGGGACCCATGGTGGGGGGATGTCATGTGGAGAGAGATAGACTAGAGAGTTGTACTATAGTAGGCTGGCCTGCAGCCCTGGCCTCTGCATATTTGGACACTGTATATGCTTACACAATTAGACGAACATGTTCAAGGCAATTAGACGTGTGGAGAACGGGGGTGGTTCGTCCGACGACGCTTTTTCTGAGCAAACAGCGAAGCCTGGACGGATGGAACCGGGCGGCAATTAATGCCATGTGGTGCCGGTGGTGGTGTTTGAATTATCAATGAACGAGGATCCATTATTTACATTTGCTAATGCAGGAGCCGGGCGATTAGTGCCCTCGTCCTCTGCCCAATGTTGGTTTTTGCTGGGTTTTCATCTGAGGAGAGCTGAGTGGAGGGATATTAATTACGCCGAGGCATAACTGCGCGGCGGGGTGGCGGGTAAATTACCACCAGAGACAGGCCACTGCCAACATCACGGGTGGGGTTTTACTATTAGGAATAATTCTGACTCCTGGTGCCCTCACCTGACGTCACACACGACACCAGCTCTGGATCAAATTAAAACCCAACCGAGACAGACTCCCTACATTCTGTTATACACAGACTAGGTATATGTACTTTATACTCAAGCCTCACACACACACACAAGTGAATATTGTTTACTATTACTATATATATTAGGAATAATTCTGACTCTTCGTGCCCTAAACTGACATCACACACGACACCAGCTCTGGATCAAATTAAAACCCGAGACAGACTCCCTTCATTCTGTTATACACAGTACTAGGTATATGTACTTTATACTCAGCCTTGCTCACACACACAAGTAAAATTGCACAACACTGCACCACTTGTCGCTGGGGATTTGCATATGCAAATGTCATTAAGTCTTTGTGTGCGCATAGCGACCCAAAGACCCGTCACGCTCCCAGCTAAACAATCCCCCCCTTTCATGCAGGGCATTTGCATCGAGATGCGCAATTAGCCAAATCAGTCCGCACCGATTATAATTTCTCTTTCTTCTCTCCTTGCCTCCTTTCTGAGTTTATCGGGCGATGCGGCACCCGTCCGCCAGTCGGGACTGAGAGAGACGGACACAAAGCCGCGCCGGGCACTCTTTTGTCCGGTGCTTAATGAGTCGGACGGGGTCATTTGCATATGTAGATGCAATTAGACGCAGCTGCTCTATCCCCTGGTCTTAATGGCTCATAGGGACGGCCACAGCTGCAACCCTGACCTGGGTAATCAGACTGTGCAGTGGGCAAACACCACCGGCCAGCCTAGGGCCACTCCAGCAGGACTGGGGGAATCACAACTGCCCAGTGATTCAGCAGTGAAAGTGGTCAGAATGGCCCAGACAAAAGCCTGGCATTCCTGTGGGAATTCAGGAGAGGACTGACACAGATGATTCACCCTACTGTGTCCCCCCCCCCCTCTCCTCCCTCTACTGTCCGCTGCCACTTGCGTTGGCTCATCTAACCCTCCACAGGGGTCCCCAAAAATAGCCTGTGCACTATTAGGTTCGCCGGTCCAGACAATATTTCTTTTGTGTAATTAAATCAGTAATTGAGCTCGCTTGTTTGCATATAAATGCAGGCCCCAATTAAGGGAGAGTGACTACGGCCAGCAGGAATGCCATCAACGAATGCAAATGTAATTAACTCACATATTTTGTTTCCAGCCGAGCATAGAAACCACCTCATTTGCATACTGTACTCACAAAGAAAATAATTACAGGGGGCAAAGAGCATGCCTATCTTGGGCCAAGCATCTCTCTCACAGCTTTCAGGAGGGGTTTTTCCACCCTCGAAAAACAAACTGTGGTTTTAGATCGGTGGTATTTTAAGCTGAAAGACCAGCGTTTATCTGCGACGGACTGTTTAAGTCCGATAGTGAATCCCATTTCAGCGGAGCGCCAGGCAACACAGAGAGACGTCCCTAATACCACAGTCTCTCCAAGTGATAATTAAACTCCCTGGGCATGGACTAAGCACGCAGATATTAGGAGGAGAGTCCACACTCAGCCGTTTCAAGATGCTGGGCTATATTTCAGCTGTCACGTTGGCAGGCGCTGTCCCTTCCTAATGTGATCACGGGTGTCCCTAGTCGCTCCGAGGCACAGGTTATGAGATTACACCAGTATAAAATGGATGAACTTTCCCGAACCCCGCAGCAATATTTCCGCCAGTGATAAAAAAAAACGGCGGCGTAGGAATCGCGTAGGGGGAGAGGAAAGCGGGGCGATATCGTTGTTGTTGCTGCGAGACCCATGATTGCGGTTCTCCGGGGAGGTAAGAATCCGGCGGCGCGGCGTTCCCCGGGGGTTCGGTGTGACAGGCAGGTACAACCATGCCACAATTAGCACTGGCAGCGTCAGAATGACATCCCTGAATGAAGCAATTCGGCAGGAACTGCGACGCACAAGAGGAATAATCACGGAGCGATTCTGCCAAGATTCGGAGAGAAAGAAAGAAAGCGCGGTGGTGGCGGCGTGCTATCCCATCGCTCGGTGATGCGTCAACGTAAGGTGTTAGACGTCGCTAGTGTACAGCCGAGCGATGCGACAGTGCCACCACTTTCCCCCACTTTTTATATGTTAATGCAGGGAGTAATGGTGCATAAAATCAAGAGTCAGCAAGCCCCCCTTTTTCCCCGGCATCACTGCTGCACCGGGGGTCAGCGTCGCAGGCAGCGCGGGGATGAGGGATCACTGCGCGATATGATTGGATTGCATGACGGGATGACATGCCACCAGATAAACCCACCAACTTTAATGGGGGAAGATGAGCCCTCCCGTGCCAGGCCTATCCCGGGCGCCGCGAACCGGGACCGCTTTCGGGGACAGGGGCTTCCGTCACACACACACACGTAACAAAAAAGGGGACCGCCATTGCCATACACACATTCAAACAGCCACCCGCAGCGCCTCTGACAAAGGGATGGCACCGGGGAAGACACAAGAGGGGGAAGTCTTCTATTCATTTGCATATTCACGACTGTTATCGATTGCAGGGGTCTATCGATCGCGTCCCCGTGCAAGTAAACTACGGCGACAGTTGTTCCCGTCCCTGCCCTCCCGCGCACTCCATTATTTTTACTAACTGATTCCCGGGTACCCAGGTCTTGGCAGGAGCACCCGGTTTTACGGCCAAACGATTTCGGGAGGGGGTGCCCGGAACGTTCCTCCGGTAACCATGGCGATGCCTCGATTAGTCGGTCCTTAAAAAGTGGCACAAATGAGCGTGTTTAGCAGGGATACGGAGCGGCAACAATGGCCGACAAAGGGACCTGTCAATAGGCGCGTATGTCACTGCCTCGCCATCAATCCTTTCCTGCACCACTAATTTACAGAAGAAAAGACACTGAATGAATGCCGCTCTCTCTCTCAGTTAAGTGTCCATTCTTGCATACAGGAAGAGACAACAGTTGAGAATCCCAACGTTCAACCACTCGAACCTCCGAATCCATCAGTAGAGCCCGTCTCTAATTAGTGCGGAAATAAAATGACGACACACACATCTCTCACACGCTGCAACAAGATCGCCCGGTCGGTTGTCACAATAATAATACAGCAAACGCATGCAGTATATAAAATAGAGAAACACTCCAGGCTTCTGTTAACATGAAAGTGAAGAACGGTTGGCCTGTGTCGGCGGAAGCATCCTCTAACCAACCGCAAAGCTTCCGCTAAATCACTCAACCTTCACAGGGTGCTGCGCCGCTTCATTCCACCGTACGTACGCACGCACGTACGATAGACAACAACACGACGACGACAAACGATCGCCCGGTTGCGAAATGCGTAACGTCTGTCTGTGGTTTCAATTGTGGGTTTTCCGCCAGGCCAGAAGAGAGAGATGAGATGACACAGTTTCCACACCATGAAGCATCGCTGGTGCGCCAGCCACGGACTCTCGACACGGCCATGGATTTCTCCGTCCATCGATTCACATCATAATCACAGAGGGCTATAATCAAAAAATCATAAGCCACATGCGATGTTTCCCAGTGTGGCCCAGGGAGAAAGCTGGGTGGCTGGAAGCAGGGCCTGATCTGTACCCCTCTCTGGGGAGCAGTCCCAGTTAGACACCGACCGTCTACCCCTGGTCTGTCCCAGTCTGGCTCGGGGCTGTATCTAGTAACGTACCAGCTGGGAGAGAGAAAAAAACGGGCCTCTAGCCCTGTGTTTACGGCGGCGGAGTGGATTTATTACAACCGGGTATCGATCTAACAGACTCCAGGCAAGCCCGCCAAAAGATCGGCAGTGTAGCTCGCACGCACAGTAGACTGGGAGAGGGTTAGAGCACTACCGTGCTTTATTCATCAGTCTATACACACACACACACACACCGCACACACGGAGGAGGCATACGCTATCGTATCGTCCAGTACTTCCACGTGGAAGCGAAGCGGCAGACAGCTAGCTACAGCTACTCCCCGTCGCCATTCCTTAGTTAACACCTCTCTCTAATTTCGCCATCAAGGAAAACAACAACTACTAGAGATCCCGCCGTATTTAGCTTTAGCGGAGCGGACGGGTTAGCTAAGCCGAGCGCGACCGGGTAGGCTATACAGGCCCGCTATCTACTATCCACCCGGCCGCCGGCCCCCTCACAACTTCCCCACAACAAAGTCCCACCGCCTAGGAAACAACTCCCCACAAACTTGGGGTCGAAAGTTGAAGGGGAAAGGGAGGTAAACAACAACAGCAGACCCCCGGAAGGCGGTGGGAATCGAACCCCTCCCCTCTGGCAGCCGGAGCGGGCCCGGCGAACACTCTGGGTCACCACCATAATGTGACATGCAAGAAAAGGTCAACTTTTTACACTTGTAAACACAGAAATACTACCCCGTCCCGCGTCCCTACCAACTTACCGACCTGCCCTGGATCGCTCCCCGGGCCGTGGACACGTCTGCCGGGCCCCAGAACGCGCGATCGGGCCCGCTAATTACGTCTAATCAGGCCCCGGGAACAATTAGCAAGCAGCACACACTCTCCCAATTAAATAATAGCCTCCGCGCCCGCCCGAAAAATGTGAACTTCAACTTACGGTTTCCCGGGTTCCTTTCCGATCGCACGGCCCATACCACGCAACTCTGCCGTCCCAAACACAACGCGGCAACTGCCTGCCTGCCACTAGCGCCGGGGAGGAGCGCTCGGCACCCAGAAAGAAACTAGAAATAACCAAATGAAAATTCGATATTTTATTCTGCTAATTATTTTCCGTGTAAAATGGCTGATTAGCGCAGCGCGCATGTCTGCCGCGATGTGCATGACGGGATAGGCTATTGATCGTAATTAAATATGCATCGGTGGAGCCTTTCTTCATTTAGCCAAGAAAATCACCCCGGCCAAATTAAGGCCCGCAAGCCCGCATTTCCCGGCAAAAACGCACGCGGAAACTTTCCCTCTCACAGGACGAGACGCTTCCCCGCAATGTCTTAAGCAGCAGAGTGTTCCTTGGGTTTTTCTTAAAGATTTGCGGTGAATGTTGTGATGTGGGTCTGTATGGAAAGAGAGGAACGCACGTTTCCGAAGCGGCCCTAGCTCTAAACGCGCGTCCCACACCTTTTTTTCTCGGCGCTTCGCGCCTCCGAACTTGATGAAATATATAAATCAAATCACCTCACAAGCAGGAGGGAATTTATGCGCAGACGGCTACGTGTGTGTGTGCGGCGTGAGCCTAGCCCGAGAGAGCCAGCGAGCCGGTGTTGCGAAGCGGGCGGGACCTGGTAGTCGGTTCGCCCGGGCGAGGGCCGTAGGGTCGCAGGGGTCTCCTCGCTCTACTCGCGCCGGCTCGTTTAGTTATCCGCCGTTTTAATTAGACGCACAAGCCGGACGCTAGACCGTCGTCTCTCTTTCAATGTTTAAAATTTGCATTCTAACAACGTGTCTTTTTTGCATTTTATCAACCTTAATGTTCATTGATTTTCAATTATCTTGGCTAGAGATTCGAGGTGGTAGTGTTAATACGACGGCAGGCCCGGGTATGATATCAGGACCGTCGGTTTTGATGTGTTATATTATTCGCACCCCACCCGGGACCCGGCTACCCCAGCCTTAATATTACACTTTATCATTAAGAAGGAGAACGGGCATCAAATATGCAAAGAGGATCGCCATTATCGGTCAATTTGACGTCTTGCCAAATATGGAACAAATCTAATATTAAATATTGCGCGGGGAAGAATAAATGCACTAATTCGGCGTGATCTTTCCTGACCTATGGGCGCATAAGTCAATGTATTATGCAAAGGTTATTATTGGGAGTTCTTTATTAGTTTTAAAGAGCGGCCGATTGCTCACGGGTGAATAAATGATGGCTTGGTTACTGCACTTTGGAGAATAGGGCGCAGCGCGAAGGATTACAGGAAACGTCAATAATATCATTAAAGATATAAGTTTTTCCTGGAACTTGGCAGAGAGTTCTCAGTCAAGGCCACGGCTTGGGGAGGGGGGCGGCATGAGCTGCCCATGGCCGCTTCTTGGGCTGTCTTTCTGTGTCTGTATCTGTATTTGCCAGTATAACCGCCCTTAGGCGTAACACACCAGCTTCGCAGGCACGCGGCGCGGCGGCAGCTAGGTACATTACACCGATCGACTTGTTACACCTAACCCTTGAACATCTAACTCTAAACATTGTTTAAAGCTATCTAATGATAATGCCTCTAATGTATTGGTGACGGCGAGTTTCACTCACAGTCTTTAATGAAAGGTGCGATGTCTTGTACGTGTGAGAACACCCAAGTCACTAACACCTGTGCGAACCTTAAGCTTTCTCAAGACGCTTAAGACATGCTTCTTAGCCGATGTCTACGCAAAACCCTGTGTAAGTAGGTAGGTAGGTAGGTAGGTAAGGAGCGAGGTGTCTGGTTAACGTTCCATGTCTTCACACCTGAAGGAGTAACCATAAGACGTGTTACAGACACCCCTAATTTACGCTCAAGACGTCTAGAATCTACGTCTCAACACAGGTGTGTGTCTTAAGATCCAGAGGTGTCTTCTCTCTGGTTAACATTTCTTCACACCTTTACAAGAACCTAGAAGACGTGTTACAGACACCCTTAATTTACGTTCAAGACTTCTAAGACTCTACATCTCAATACAGGTGTGCATCTTAAGACACAGAGGTGTCTTCTTTCTGGTTAACATTCTTAACACCCTAAGGAATAACCATAATACGTGCTAGACACCCTTAATCTACACTCGAGACGTCTGAAAATCTACATCTCAATACAGGTGTGTCTTAAGATCCACGGTAAGGCCCAGAGGTGTCTTCTCTCTGGTTTACTTTCCATGTCTTCACACCTTGAGGAATCACTATAAGACGTGCTACAGACACCCTTAATCTACACTCGACTGACGTCTGAAAATCTACATCTCAATACAGGTGTGTGTCTTCAGATCCCGGTGAGACGCAGGGGTGTCTTCTGTCTGGTTAACATTCTTCACTATGAGACGTGCTACAGACACCCTTAATTGGCGTTCGGACGTACGTCTAGAATCTACGTCTCAACACAGGTGTGTGTCTTAAGACCCAGAGGTGTCTTCTCTCTGGTTAACGTTCTTCACACCTTAAGGATTAACCATAAGACGTGCTACAGACACCCTTAATTTACGCTCAAGACGTCTGACAATCTACGTCTCAATACAGGTGTGAATTTTAAAATCCCCGTAAGACACAGGGGTGTCGCTGCGCTCCTTGATTCCCACTAAATAAAAGACGTGCTATAGACACCTAGCCTGGGTACCAGACCCATAGCACACTGGACACGAAGTATCTCACTGCTCACTGAGAAGGTTCGTGTCCAGTGTGTTATGGGTCTGGTACCCAGGCTATGGACACCCTTAATCTACTTTCAAAACGTCTAAGAATCTACATCTTAATACAGGTGTCTTCCTCCTATCCGTCTCCTCACACCTTGAAACATAACTAAGACGTGTGACATCCTTAATCTACGTTCCAGACATCTGAGAATCTGCATCTCAATACAGGCGTCTTCTTTTCCGTCTCCTCACACCTTGAGACGTAAGTAAGACGTGTGACGTCGTTAAGTGGTTTGACGGGCTCCTTGATTCCCGCTGTCGTGTCTTGAAGACGGGACTCGGAAGTTAGGGACGTCACCGCCCCGGTATTGTCTCACCTGTCTGCAGCCATCAGCCTCACAACCTGCCCGTCTGTCGGACATGGTTCTACCGAACACTCACCTGTCTGATTTCTGTCATTTCTTCCAATGAAGAGATGACAACCTTTATTGCACATTTTTGCCACAATGGGCAACAGATACAAATGAAATTAAATAACTATTCGTTACATAAATTCAACTTTTCTTCGTTTTGAGTTATAGTAGAGATAAAAGAAGAGATATACTGTTTGTCACATTTTCTGTCAGTGGTGCCTCTGTAATAGTCAGACTAAGCGATAGATGATCATGAGAGGTGGCATGGTGAGACAAGAGTACTTCATTCATTCATTCATTCATTCACTAATTCATTCATTCATCCTTTCATTCGTTTCCAAAATCAATTCATTCATTTCCAAAATCCATTTATTCCTAATCATCCGTGCATTTTTAATCGACACAGTGCAGCGTCGTCATACATTCTCAGCGCTCCAATTTTGTTGGTCTGTGTGATTGTAAGGGTCACAGAACAGTATGAGTAAGGGGTGAAGTCTGCCATCTCTGATTCCCCTGTTCCATGGTTGTATTCCATCGGAAACGACACTGTTTCCGTCATCACACGTCACTATCTCCCCTTTCTGCCCTGATACACATCGTAACCATGGTAACCGGCTCTTTTCAGTGTCAAAAGAAGTTCTGGAAGACTCATATAATTTCTGATGAAGGCGACAGTGGTCGCTGAAAATTTGATATCTGTATAATGTGTGTGTGTTGGAATGAAGGTCAACGTTTTTACTATGATAACTACTAACACAGATGAACTTTGACGATGATCATGTAATTTCTGTACTTAAAGTATGATTTCTATTGTTTTAAACATTTCCATTGGCTCCATTGATTGTGTACATCAGGGGCTGATAAATTGGGCACGATACAAATACAAAAACTGCCAATTAGGCCATGTTGATTTGATATATGGATGACATCCTCTGGGAACCCCAAAACTGATGCGCGCGTGCGAATAAAAAAAAAGTTTTGCAAAAAAAAGTTGCTTTCACTATGAAATCTACGTGGTCATGAAGGTTGAACAAATGGCACAGAATATGTTATGGCGAATAATCTACTCTTCGAATTCATTTCTTCACAATTTTGTCTTTTTTCCTTTGATTTTGGCATTCTACGACATTGGTATCGTTTCTAGATGTTTTCCTTGCAACTTATGGTATATTTTTGCTCATTTAGCAACTGTTTTGCACGATTTACAGTATGGTTGAAAACTTTTTTTTTTTTTGGAAACGGCCGAAAATTCATGCGCGCGCGGATGTCATCCATATAATCAAATCAACATGGCCTTATGTTGTACAATGTAAATGGTAAGGGCACAAGGGTTTACAGGTGGGGTGATTTTTCTTTCATTTTTTTTTCCAAACCAAGTTTCAGCTTGAGAAATTGAAGATTGGAAACCAAACATCTGCTGTAAGATTTAAATATTATCCAGCTTCCTTCGCTAAGAGTCTTCCACGGGTCACAAGTCGTTAAGACAGACAGTCGTCTTAAATTCAAGGTCCTTCCAACATCTGGAGAGAGGTCCTTCTCTTTCTTTGCATCTTTGCCCAGTTTGCCAATCAAGCCAATTTCCGCGCGCCATACGACAAATTCTCCCCATTTCCGCAGCTTCCTTATGCAGGCGTGGCCCGCCAGTCGCGCAAGGTGCGGGGAAAAGGTCTCAAGGAGCGAACCGCGCATCACTTGACCTTGACGCCACCCCTGACCTTGACTCCCAGTCTTGAGCAGGGGTTCTAAGGCGTCACCTTATTTGCATACGCTGCTCCGCTGGAGTGAATATGTAGACACCTTTTTTTTCT